GCGGGACTGGTCCCTCCACGGGGAGAACCTTATAGCGGAGGCAGATACGGAGACGAACGGAACATGCCCGTAGGTGTTCATTAGAGGCTGGTCTTGCATTTGGACATTAATTTTTTAAACACGTCAGACATTTGAAAAAAATGAGCATATTGTCTCATAGCAGGAAAACATGCTTAAAAAGGGAACCACTGGCTTTTATCTTCCTTGACTGTTCCGAACAAATTCCAAGGAACGGGCGTCCAGTGCTGGAATGGGTTCACTCGACAGGTCTGGGAAGAACAGAATTAAAACTGAACAACTTGCTTTTTCCTTCCTTGCCTCTTCTGAACCACTTCCATGGAGGCTCTGGCCGCGCGGGGAGGAACCGGCTCGTCCAGGCGGGGCCTGCGGGGGACGGAGGCACCAGGTGAGCGGGCGCGGGGCGGTCGCCCACGGCTGCTGCGCTTCAACTGTGCTACTTTAAATAACAAACTTACCCGTTAGTATTTACACCATTACAAGTGGCTAAAAATTTTAAAAATGTTTTTATTGATTTTAGAGAGAGAGGAAGGGGGGAGAGAGAGGGAGGAACAGAAACAAGGACCAGCGCCTCCTGCACGCCCCGGGGACTGAGCCCCAACTTGGGCAAGTGCCGAGGGGAACAGAACCCAGAACCCCAGACCTCGGTGCGCGGGATGGCAACCAACGGAGCCACACCAGCCACGCCAAAAGGGGTTAAATTTTGAAGGGGAAAAACACCTACTTTACCCACTCCCTTTTTTTTTTTTCCCAAACATATCTTTATTGATTTCAGAGACAGGAAGGGAGAGGGGGAGAGAGAGATAGAAACAGCAATGCTGAGAGTCACTGATCAGCTGCCCCCTGCAGGCCCCCGACTGGGGATCCAGCCCGCAGCCCAGAATCTAACGGGGAATCTAACCCTGATCTCCTGGATCCTAGGTCAATGCCTAACAGCTGAGCCACCCCCGGCCAGGCCCCACTCCCTCTTTTTGATAAACAGACCCCAAAGTTATACTTTTCCCTCTTCTCAAGCTATGGGTTATTTCAGGTTGCTTGGGGTGGGGCCACGAGGTAGGTAAGGAAGGGAGTAAGAAAACCTCAGGAGCCACTTCTGTCTTCCGGAACACTTCCTGGTGTGTCACTACACTTTGAGAAATGTTAAGGAGCAGCTATTGAAACACAATAATAGAATATGGAGGCGATAAGTGTGCTGTGAAAGCTGAAACAAAAACAGAATTGCCAGCCTTATCTCCTCCAGAACACGAAAATAAACGAGTTCAGTGATTTGGTAATTCGGCGTACCTGAAAACACCAGTTGATAACTTCTCCATCACATCTTTTAAGATGCGTAGCTGGAAGGGTAGTTAAGGTGGCAATGTAAAAGACAGAGGGTTAAATAAAACCATTCAACCAGCAGAAGATGCTAGGCAGGTCACATTTTTCCCCTTTAAGTTTAGCATTCTCAGAAATTAAAATTTTAAGTTACAGAAATTCTGTAAGCTGTCAAGTTTATCTCTAAAAAACTGATATGAGAGAGGTGGTAACAAAATAGAGCCTCAACTTCTAAGAACAAGTGATGAGAGAAGCAAGCCTAATGCCTGTCCTGAGGAGTGACTAGTGTGCTCCCAAATGGATGGTAATGGGATGGTGTCAGGGTTTCACTTTAGCACCACTTTATGCTACTTTTAGTTAAAAACAATTTTAGCACTTACTCCTCTTACTGTGGGTGCACATTTATTTACAAAATGGGTAAGACTCAAAGTTTGTGCGAGGAAAGTTCATGAACTGTGTGTGATATATGTCACTGAGAGAGTCAGAAAACTAAATTTTTAAAAAATTTAGTCATTTAGTTGAAATTCTAATACTAGAATTGAGAGTCTGTGTAATTGCTAGTACTTGAGAACTAGTTATGATCACACAATTGGAAGGAGAAGTGTATGTTAAATCACAAGTGGCGACTGGCTCATGTGTGAACTGCCTGAGGGGGGCTTGCATAAGTGAGACTAAAGTCTGATTCGGGACTTGAGAAAAAGTAAATGAGAAAATATGAACATTAGGTCTTTTTAAATAAAGACCTAAAGAATACAGATTCACTTATTCATACTATAAAGTCTCTTTCTACTTCTGTTAATGAAATTGCCAACAGTATGTTCAAGAGAGTACATGTGTGCCATGTACATTTATAATTTTTGAAAATGTAACATTTCATTTAAACATTGTCAGGTTTCAACATGGTCCATGGGTTTGCTAAACAGGTTAAAATCATCTCTGGTGGGGAAGGGAGGGCAGCTGAGAGAATTAAGTAACATAGGCAAAGCACCCGGCCTATTTTCTGACATGTAAGACTGAAAGCATGCTGTTACTTTTAATACATGTCGCTGTCTATTGTTAATACATCATGGGTTCCTGATTATTATAATGTTATTGGACATTTAAGTGGCTTTAAATTGAAACTCAAAATTCTTCTAGAAAGTTCAAAATTAAGTTTATTTTCTAAATTTAATAGGAAGACATTTAATCAGAAATACTTTAATCTCATACACTCTACATTAAAGGGATTTTCTAGTTTTGAAGTGTACCCTTTAAAACTCAACATATACAGTAAACTAATGAAACACTAATTGAAGGCTCTACACCCTCTGTGTTGCTCCTAGAGGAGGCTGCCCTTATAGACATCACTCATGTGACTACACACTTACCAAAGCAAGTCACAGAGTCAGTGAAGACAAGTGTGAGGCTCTTTCTTCATGCACAAGTACACTCTGTTATTACAAGAACTTATTTTACCCAATTTGTTAAAAATTTTACCAAGTGCAGCTACCTTTAGGATAGCCACCTTAGAAATAAAAGATTTATTTGTAAATTGACCTTGCTCTAAAGAGGTTTGGAATGCCTTTCAGTCTCAAGACAACTCTTACCCAAACTAGAATGATTTGGCTTCCTTTACCAGATTTGTCTCCGAATAATTTTCATTTTAAAAAATCAAACCCACCCTCAGTTTGTGAAGATTTCCTAGCATTGATAACTTTAAAAACGCCCCACAAACTTTTTTTTCTTCTTAATTTTTTTTTTTAACCCTCACCTGAGGGTATTTTTTCCATTGCATTTTCAGAGAGAGTGGAAGGGGGGGGGAGAGAGAGAGAAACATGGATGTGAGAGAGACACATTGATTGGTAGCCTCCTTCATGTGGTTCGGGGCTGGGGATTGAGCCTGCAACAGAGTTACGTGCCCTTGGCTGGAATTGAACCCAGGACCCTACAGTCCATGGGCTGACTGAGCCAGACCAGCTTGGGCCCCACAAACTCTTTAACTGAGATAAGTATTCTGACAGGGTTCTCACAAGGGCACCATCCTAGAAGTAAGAATGCCACTCTCAAAGTGATGTGGAATTTCCACAATGTGAGGTCAAAACCGAAACAAAATCTCCCATGGAACTCTGGTTTATCTCCCACTCAGATGACAGCGAGACGGCCTGGGTGAGACTCCTGCCCTGCCCACACCAGCTGCATCTCTGGGCCTGTATTAACCTTTCTACACTTCAGTTCCTTCATCTGTGAAATACGGGGGATGATAACAGTACTTACACCTCCGAGGCAGTTTGAATGTTTGAATAAATTAATGCCTACCTAGCACTTGGAACACTGTTTGGTATGGTCAGTGAAAGTTAGCTGCTATTATTTACTGTTACCACCATCAAAGGACTTAATGCTGAGAGCACAAGATAGATTTCAAGCCAGAAGCTTGCCAGCAGGAGAAAGGATATAAAGATACTTTCCTTGTCGTACATTTGACAAATTCCAGACTTCGTCATTGAGGAAAGCCACTGTTGCTCCCTTGAGGAAAAGGTGGTGGCTATCTGGAGGATCCAACTTGGACAGAATGCACAAAGACTGGTCAGTACAGAGTTTAAAAGCAGAGAGATGGCTGGCACCTTGAGCCAGAAAAACTACACAAGTTAAATAATACCCAAACCACAGACAATCAGCACACAAACTTTAATGACAAGATGTACGCCATCTCTGCTTTGCATTTCATTGTCCAAAACGGTGAAACGGCAGGATGAGATGCAAGGCCAACTAGAATCCTGATGAAGTAGCAGCAGAGTGCGTGTGAGAGAAGATTTCTGGCTGCTGCGTACCAGTCATTTTCATGAGGACATTGGAAAGTCATGAAGACTGGTATATGAGAATTATGGTATTTGCATATCAACCATGATAAGAATAATTTTTTTAAGTTGTTAAATGTAATTTTGGGAGACAGCATGTATATACACATATATAGTATATTCCAATTTGAATAACTAGGAAATTGTGATAATTTTATACAGAAATATTTTGCTAAGTATGTCAATACTTGGACTAAAAAAAATCCTTGCACTGGTCAGGTGGCTTGGTTGGTTGGAGTATAAACCCTTATACCAAAAGGTTGCAGGTTCAGTTCCCGGTGAGGGCATATACGTGGGTTGCGGGTACGACCCCAGTTGGGGCATATATAGGAGGCAATCAGTTGGTGTTTCTCTTTCACATAGATGTTTCTTTCTCTCTGTCTCCCTTCCTCTCTCTCTGAAATCAATAAAATACATATCCTTACATGAGGATTAAAAAAAAAAAAAAATCCTATTTGAAATACTATTAAATTCAGAAGCAATACATCCAAACCACTGAATAAAAGGTTTTTGTTTGTTTTTTAAAAAACGTCCTTATTGATTTCAGAGAGAAGAAGGGAGAGGGAGCGAGAAACGTCAATGATGAGAGTCATGGATCGGCTGCCTCCCGCACGTCCCCTGCTGGGGATCAAGCCCACAACCCAGGCATGTGCCCTGACCGGGAACCAAACCAAGATCTCCTGGATCCTCCGTCATGTCAACCGCTGAGCCGCGCTGGCCGGGCTGAGTGGAAGTTAAATGCACCCCTATGGGAGGCTCTCTTTCAGCACTTTCTCTGTGTCCTCACCCGGGGATATTTTTTCCTTTGCTTTTCAGAGCGAGTGGAAGTGGGGGCGGGAGAGAAACATCGATGTGAAAGAGACACATGGATTGGTTGCTTCCCGCTCACACGCCGACCGGGGCTGGGGATCGATCCTGCAACCAAGGTACATGCACTTGGCTGGAACCGACCTGGGACCCTTCAGTCCTCGGGCTGACGCTCTGAGCCAAGCCGGCCAGGGCCTGTGTCAACATTTTGGCCAACATGTAGCTAAAGTTTAAAAAACCTATATTTCTTTTCTTTTAAAAAGGGTATAATTCAGCATTTACACTAATTTAGTCCACCTTGCTTCAAAGGACGTAGGCTTTATTCTTTGTTAACTGTACCCTTCTGGTGGAACAGTCACACTCTACTGTTTCTGGTCATACCTGCAGGTTTTCTTCTGTCGTTACCCAATGGCCTCCGATGCCCAGAAGTGTGAGGATATCATGTTTATGTGGTAGCAGTAATTTTACAGCTGGTTCATCATCTTTACTATACAATCTCACTTACAAGGGGAAAGTTTCAAAAAAGAGAGAAGAAATATGTATTTTAGTCATCTGATGAAAATTTATTCTTCAAACAAGTTCTCTTTACTTTTTAATGTAGGAATGAAGAAGCATTTTTCTTAGAAAAAGTCAACACAATGTATTCAGACACCTTAAAATACACTTTTTGCATTAAAACCGGTAATAAAATTTACTCCAGATTTAATTATAAGTGAGATTTAACTAAAGATAAAAGTCTTTTCATTTGAAAACCAGGCAAGGTAATACAAGGTATAACTAAGTTTGATAGTTTTAACCATAACACCAATTGCTTAATACTTAGAAAAGTTGACTTCTGATTAAGGAACTCGGAGACTCAAGATAGTCATACTTTGACATAATTGTTGAAATGTCCTCTTAAAAAGTTAATGAAGTATACATTCGCTTCCACTGAAAGATTTCTGTGAGTTAATTTCAAATCTTGAAAATATTGGCAAAAAAGAAATATATGACGGCCACATGCAGTTGTATCCACCTATGGTTCTCATGGTAGAGGTTACATTTTAACTAGGATGCTTTTGTAGACTTGAGAAACCTGTCCTTCAGGTGAGATGACTACCTAAGTGTACAAATTAGGGGTTAAACAGATATCTGTTAAACTACAAAAGTTCAAGGAAGGTGAAAATTGAACAAAATTCTGTGTGTTTTCCAAATTGAGCCTACTGAAGTCAGCCATCCAGTAGAGGGCTGTCTATAGCAAAACTGACTGAACAAGCATCCGGCTGAGACTTGACTAACGTGTTTCACGTGGGAACCATGGGAGAGGTCATGTCTGGAGACTGGTGTAGGGCTACTCCACCTCCAGTGCCTGTGCTTAAGGCAGGCATGCCCTCTCTTCCAGACAGTTTACAATGGGGATCAAATGAAGAAGCCCAATTTAAACACAAGAATTAAAAGCAAACCAATACCCAGGCCCTGGCCAGCTTTGCTCAGTGGTTAGAGCTTTGGCCCACCGACTGAAGGGTCCCAGGTTCGATTTCCCCCAAGGACACATACCCTTGGGCTGTAGGCTTGATCTCTGGCTCTGGTGTGGGAGGCAACCAATCAATGTTTCTCTCTCTCTCTCTCTCACCCTCCTTCCCTCCCTCCCACTCTCTCTGAAAAGCAATGGAAGAAATATCCTCAGGTGAGGATTAAAAAAAACACCCCAAACTAAACATCAACTTAATACATCTGTTAAAGATTATTTCCTGGATATACAAATAATTTTGTTTTTGTTTTTGCCCCCTAAAATTCAGCCATTACACTAAAATTACAGATGACTGATTAGTAAAGTACCTACCTCCAGCATCCAGGACGATATCTACTCCCAGGCCACCTGTTTCTTCTAAACAGCTTTCAGCAACATGCGCTTTCCCACTGGACACATCGATCACTCGGGCTGTAAAGGACAGGAGGTCAGGTCACGGTACTTTCTCTAGTGATCAACAAACAGTTCGGGAAAAGAAAAAGCGAATAGACATCTGTCCTCTGAAATGAATTAAGTGGTTTTAACAATTACAGAATCCAAATTACACTCATTCTCATATAACCCAATATTGAGTAAGGGTCGATTTAAATGACAGGACTGGTATAGTCAGTAAAATAAAATATAAGCATTTTGTGGATAATGTGTTCCAAGGCTAGTCTATTTACACAGAAGACTGTTCTCTCTGGCTAAGAATATGTTGCCAGAAATGAGAATCTATACACCACAGAGGTACATATACATTAAGACATGGACCGAAAGATTATTCCTTTAAGTATGTTCAGATTTAATAGAGTTTAGAGTTAAAAAGTACAAAAATGTATTTGCATGATGTGATACTTCTCTATGAGAGACTGTTTTGTTCTTTCTCAATCATAGAAACCGCCCGCACCTCCCCTTCTTGCTCCTCAAAACAAAGAAAAATCTTGAAGGTAAGGAAAAAAACATGATTATTTTTAGTACAGTGAGTGAAAATTAAATTAATTTTAGCTGGTTACCTTGAAGTATTAATAAAACAAGCCAGTGAGAGTATTAAAATAAAACTCTCAGAATTGGAACTGGCAAATGAAGACATGTCTGTATTTCATTTTTATGTCTTTGAACACCTCCTCAGAGAGACTTCCTCACAGCTGCTTGGGTCTGCGGTGAAGTCCAACAGTGATCTAAGACTCGGGGTGGGGGTGGGCATGGCGGGGACACAGCAAAGGGGACCTGAAGCACTTAGGAAGGGCAGGACTCACTACTACAAAACCTTTTCCAGGGGCTGGGTGCAGGAGGGCAAAAGGGGGGGAAATGGGGTCTTCTGTAATAGTGTCAACAATGGGAAAAAAGGAAACCTTTCCCTTCAGTAATACCACTCATGCGTTTTTTCCCCTATTTTCCTCCTCCAGCCCCTGCCTCAACCTTCCCTCCATTTCTTGGTTCTCTCTGCCAGAAGCATAATGTAGCAGTGGACACAATACAGCTTTAATGCTGGACAGGCCTGCTTCAAACCCACTGCAGCCATTCCTCTGCCTGTATATTCTGAGGCGAGCTAGTTAAATTCTCAGAGATGGTTTCCAGCGAGCCGTGGGGCTGTTCAGGACTCTCAGTGACGTCATCCATCCAACACTCGGTGCACTCTGCTTTCCTGCCTGCCGTCAGTGACACCCCGCTCATCTTCTCTCTGTCCATTAAACTCTAACGTTAATTCTGTAACTCCAGTCTATTAAATTCCCTTCCTTTCTTTTCCTTTCCTTTTCAGTCTATTTCCTTTCTCCACTTGTTGCTGTTTGGTACGGTCAGTCTTTTCAAGGGCTCCCGAGTCTCCACCACGTCCTGTTCATCATAAACTATAACTGACTGTGTGTCTATGTAAGTGGCTCATCTCCTTCCCAGTATATCACAGAAAACAGACAACTTTAGAAGCATATCACTGGGTAAACGAGGTTGAGAAACATACAAAGGGGTGCAAAAGTATATCGATTTATTGACTAAAAGCAAAGAGGCACCAGGTATTTCTAAATTGTTTCAAAGTTCACCTCATTCAAACTTGGCTAAGCTTATATCAGTGGGGCAAAGAAGAAAAAACATGGAAAAATGTAGGTTTAAGAAATACAATAATTAAAACTATCACTGAAGTAAACTTAGACTTAGCAGAGATACTAAGAGCATTTGAAATGTGACTTTCACTTGGGATTTTGTGCTTTGTTTTACAAGCACAATTTTTAAGGTGCTATCCATTAAAAATTTCGTTTAAATTCTGTGCTGAGCAATATCACCCACCTAGAGAAGGCCTAAGTCTCTCCAGGTACTGCTTGTCTTCGAGGCTGCACGCTGTTGAGATCACCTTGGCTCCTCGGTGCTGTGCCAACTGAATAGCTATTGTCCCGAGTGTCTGTGTGGAAAAAACACACAGTAGGCTCACAGACGTAGAGCAGAGGCCACCTCTAATTTATTTTATAGGTTGTTTAATAGGTGTAAGACTTTAGTGCTACTTCAGTATACTTTCAAATGCTACCTGATTGAGGAAAACCTATGGACAAGGTTAGTAGGATGCACCATCTGATTGCCTGTCTTCCTCAGCAGGGGGAGAAGAAAGCTGCACAGGCCACAGGCCCTTACCCAGCCTGAGCAGAGCCCGTGATTTCAGGGATGGAGGGCTGGTTAAAAACGGGCCTTCAAGGGCGTTGTCACCATGAGGATCTAAGCTAATTACATGATGCACGTGCCAGTGCAGCGGCCGCTCTGGGAAGATCAAGGCACTTCACACGCTCCATCCTTTCTCCCGCTGGCCCATGGGGTAAGTTCCGGGAAACTGCTGTCCCGATGTGGGCATCAGGCTAAGCCACTGCTGAGGACAGTTCTGGCTTTTTTCAAAGAAAAGCAGCAGGGAGCATTTCAGCAACAGCCAGATAGAAAATAAAACTATGAACTCACCCAGGTGTGGTAACATTTTTAGATTATAATATATTCTTATGTATTTGCTTTTAGTGTTGAATTATTTTTTGATGACACATGTAAGATGTTTAAATTAGCACAGTTTTTACCTTGTGCGAGCCATCTGTAAGTGCAACACCATATTAACGTAAGTGTAAGCGTGAGGGATATGACATGAAATTGGTAGGGGCTCAAAGACTTCATGAGCAATTTCAGGCTTTGTGTAACTGGCATGAAAAAATTGTTTGTTCGCTTTTTTAATGTACTAGTAGATTCAAAGGAAGATGGAACTAACCACAGGAAATCTAACTTTTATCTCTTACTGATAAAAGTTGCTTATTTTAACAAAATAGGAGTTTGATTAAAAAAAAAAAATCAGTGAATAAGCTACTGGCAAAAAACATATAAATGGATGTTCCCTAAGTTAGTACTGTGCTTTGGTCTGTTTCTTAGCAAAACTATTGGCACCTACACTTGCTCCATCCATTATCAGCACCGACTTCCCCGGAGAGAGATGAGAAAGGTAATGCAGAGCTGTATAGGCTCGGACTCCATCCCGAATTGTTCCAGCAGCTTCTGTCCATGTAACTTTTTCTGGCTTGTGAACTATCACAAAGAACAGGAAACAGTCAGTTAGCAAGTGCCACTGGTCTTGCCTCCTGCGTCTGTCCATTCCCCTCAGTCACACTTCCACCATGGCCCTGACCCCGGCTCTACTCCTATAGTGCGGTTTCCCTGCCTCCATTCTTGCCCATAAGCCACTCACCCCAGCAGCCTCGTCTCCCTCCAGAGACACCACTCTTCCTCTTTAAAACTGAGATACAACTGACTTCAGAGGTCTCCACCATTCCAACTTAATTTCTCACTTGTTTCCGTAGGTTAGTACTCAAGTATTCATTCCTAAACAATATACTTTAGCTTTGCCTGTTTTTGAACTTTATCTAAATGAAATCCTACCCATATGCATTCTTTTCTGTCTTGCTTTGCATGCTCAACATTGTTTTTAAGACACATCCTTTTTGGACGTGTGGTCTTTTCTTTTCTGTTGTTTACGGCATTCTCCTCTGTGAGCGCACCTCCGTCTGGTCGTCCGCTCTCCAGCCGAGGAACATCTGTGTGGTGTCCAGTTTGGGGCAGTTATAAACTGTGCTGCTAAGGATGCTCTCGTAGAAAAGATCGTGTTACACCAGTGCACACATCTTCTCTGGGATATTTACTTAGGAATGGAAATCTCAGGTCCCAGGGTGTTGTCTTCGACGTCCCCACACGTGCCCCAGTGCTCGTGTAAGTTTACTCTCCACAGGGTTCTCGCTGCCGTCAGCATCCTTATCAACCTTGGTATTTTTATACATTTTTATAATCAAATGGGTGTGGAGTAGTTTCTTCCTATGACTTTAATTTGATTAAGTTGAGCATCTTTCTCTGTTTCTTGGCCATTTGTTCAAGTGTTTTATCAATTTTTCTATTGTGCTGTCTTTTTCTTATTGATTCTAGGAATGTTTTATGTATTCTAAATGCATTGTTTATGTTACAAATATTATTTTCAACTTTCTCTTTTTAATCTTTTTAACAGTATCTTTGAAAAATAGACACATATCAGAATGATCTTTTAAAAACATAAATAACATCCTAACACTTCTCTGCTTAAAAGTCATCAATGACTTTCCACTGGACTGGGAAGAAAGCGCAGACTCCTAATATAGTTTAAAGCACTCCACTGATGTGCCCTTCAGGCTGCTCCTTATGTTTAATTATTTATTTTTTGTTTTGTTTTTATTTTGTACACTGAATGTTATCCTTTCACAGCACACAAAATCCTTTCCCACTTAACCTAAAGTCAATTTTATAACACTTTTCATAGTCTTTACAGCTCTTTCAAATATTTTTCCTCTAATGGCAAAAGTCAGCATTGCTTTTACCAACAGCTAGTGCCATCTGGTGGGGAAGCTGAGCACCCAGGCAACATGTAGAGAATGTTACAACCAGCAAGGTACAGACATAACAGAACATACTAAGCAGAGTAACGAGTCATGTGCTGCAAAACCATGTTTGTCACCAGTGGATCACATATATGATGGTGGGATAACATATAATCCCGTAAGAATATAATGGAGCTGAAAAATTCCTATGGCCTATTACAGAACCCACTCCTCACACATCGCTGGTGATGCTGGTGTGAACACACCTACCCCACTGCCAGCTATATAAAAGCACAGCACATACAGTATGTACAGACACCATACTGGGTATTGACAATAAACAACTATGTTACTGCTATATGGGTTTAATATATTTTTATTGGTAGAGTGTGCTGTTTATTAAAAAAAAAGTGTGCTGTAAACAGTATGCTGTTACACCTGCAGCAGCCCCATACATCTTGTGTTTACCGTCTCTTGATGGCATCATTTTCTCTTGTGCTGATTTAATCTCATGCTTTGTACAGTAACGTGCTGTATAGGCTTGTAGCCCAGGAGCAATGGCTGTGCGTACAGCCAGGTGTGTAGCAGGCTGTACCATCCAGGTGTGTGCAGGAGCCTCTGTGATGTTTGCATGACAATGACCTCCCTAATGACTCATTTCTCAGATCGTATCCCCATCATTTAGTGGCTCATGACTGTAATTAATTTGTCTGAGGCCTTGCGGCTAGTAAGTCTGAGTGTCTGACTGAAGCACATCTGCTATAACAGTGTATGCTCAAGTTACAAACAATTCACTTACATGGAATTTTGGGGAACATGTTTGATCATAACAATTGGGGCTACCATTTTTATTAAAAAAATCAAACAAGTGGCCCTTAAAAAATGTTAACAGTAATAACACTACATTTATGATCGCCAAAGGCTCTGAAATGGCACTGTTGGATAATGCTAAATTATTTTCTAATGCATTTTTCCCCGTTTACACTCCTGGTGCATAAATGGTCCTGCTGCTCCACACCCTTGCCGGCCCCTGGAATGGTCAGACCTTATAACTTTGTCGTCCTGTAGATGCATAATCACATCTCTAAGTGGTTTTAATTTGCTTTTCCCTGATCACTAAGGAGATGCAGCAACTTTTTAGGATGGTGTCATGAAGTGTGTGTGTATTTATATTTATTTTAATTTAAATATTCAAGTACATTACTATAAGAAAAATTAAAAACGAACATTTCAGTTTAACTGAACACTTGTCAGAAGAGTTTAGCAACAGAAACCGAAGACAAGCGTCTTCATTCTTTTCTGTCTTGCCCTCGACATGTTTTCTAGATTTTTAAATTTATTGATTTTTGAGAGTGAGGAAAGGGAGCCAGAGAGACGCTGACTCGCTGTCCCACTTATCCACGCGTCACTGGTCGATTCTCGTGTGTGCCCTGGCTGAAGATCGAACCTGAAACCTTGGCTTGTTGCGACGGCACTTTAACCAACTAAGCTACTACTTGGCAGGCTAAAACATAATTTAAATTAACATTTCCAATTTCAATTAATAGCAAAGAATAAAAAATTCAAAAATTCTTATTAGGAATACAATTTTAGAGAGAGACACTGCTTTTCAAACCTCTTACCATGAGCTGTGTAAATGAAACTTAAAGGTCTCTCTACTGTTCAGTATGAGTATGAATTTTATGATACTAAATTATAAGCTAGAGGTAGTCAGATGACCAGCCAACAGTTATTTCCTGTGTAAACTCACAGTAGGTACAAAGAAATGATGACGACCCCACACACCCCACACACCAGTGAGGAGAGACCCACTGAGCTCCGAGACCGAGCTGCCACATACCCAGGTAGTGCTCGTGCACTCTCACCGCTTCACAAAGCCCAGGGTCTTCAGAATCCAAGGGTAAAATTCCTGAAAGTTGAAACATGACACTTAAGGGAAGCAATCCATATACAGTGTACGTTTTGTTCAGTGGGATTCTGAGGAAGAGGCCAGTGATCACCAGTGAAGGGACGAGAGACCCCCGAAGCACAAGGGAAGAGGGTGTTGCACTTTGTGACGTGAACACTGTGTCACCTGTGCTATCTTTTCCTTCCCTTTTCTCCCACCTCTGAGTGGTGGTCAAGACGACTGCTGATATATAGGCAGGTCAGTCCTGGGGACACCTGGATTCCTCATTGAAACTGTCCCTGGTGCCCAGCCACTTTCCACAGCTGGGTCTGGAAGACACCTGTGTGCTCCCAATAAAATCCGCTTCCACTTAAGCTAGTCTTTTGGTCTCTTACAAAAAGAATCTTGCATAATACAGTGTCACTGACCTCTTGGGCAGGTAAAAGAGATAAAGACAGGAAAATAAGTTCTTCAAGAAAATACACAAGTCAAAGGCAATATCATAAGCTAATGAAAACATTCTGACAAACCTATTAACAGCCTCAAGCATGTAATAAAGTTAAACATTTTCTAAGTTTACATGAGTAGCTTCCTATGAATATTTTCTATAGAGAAATGGTAATTTTAAAGACTACTACTAAAGTCATACTTTATATGTTTGTGTGAGAGTCTGGGATATACGTATAGTGCAGAATAGTATTAACTACGGATTTAAAAAAAACAGTAAATGAAATATTTTCAGGAAATTCTAGTTTTACAAGAGTAGTAAGGGAGAAGTCCGGTAAAATTCAAGTTGAGGTGTAAAGGGAGCTTCTGTAGAGCCAGGTGGGTCTCGCAGACCTGTGACCTTTCTCCAGAGCCTTTGGTCTAGCTATAGACTGAGGTCCTGTCAGCCAGGGGCTGCGCCAAGCACAATAACAACTATGGTCTTCTTTTCACCTCTAATATTGTTCCACAGCCAAATACTGAAAAGTTTTCAGTGTTCTGCTACTGAGATCAAACTCCCAATTCTCTTCATCAGTGGACTTTTGGGAGCAAATTCCAAAAATCAGGAAAGTACTTGTATCTGAAGCAGGGTCACAACAAACATTAATAATTGTACAGGAAAAAGAAGAGATGATAGATAGTAAAACAGACAACTTACCGACTACTTCATCATCTGGTTGAAAGAATGATACTTTACTTCCAACTAAAGAGTAGAAAAAATTAATAATTAGTATGAGGTTTTTAAACAGAATTCTTATTTAACTATTAAAATAAGATCAATGGGTTTATAAGAAGTTACTAAGAGAAAAGGCCAAGAACTTGTAGGACATTTTGATGGTCTACAAGGACTGTGGGATAGAACACTTCGAATCTGGATTCTCGCCCTGGCCAGGTAGCTCAGTGATTAGAGCATCGTCCCGATACATCGAGGTTTCCGGTTCAACCCCCGGTCAGGGCACATACAAGAATCAACCAATGATGCATAAGAAGTGGAACAACAAATTGATGTTTCTCTTTCTCTCTTCCCCTTCCTCTCTAAATTCAATTAAAAAACTGGATTCTTTACAAAATTCTCTACAAAATCTGGGCCATCTGGCTGCTGACAGGAGAAGAATGTCTCTTTAGATGAAGGGATAAAGGGGACAGTCCACTGCACACTCCTGTGAGGGTGTCACTGCTCCCCACTCCTCCTGTGGCCAGCCCAACTTCCTGTCATTATTTTAGTCCCAGAATCTCAGACATACAACGGGAAATTCTGGTAAGAGTTGTATATAAAATACTTTGATTTGGAATTAGGGAAATAAATTCAGAGTGGTGCCAAGGAATTTTTGGAACTATAGAGAATCGACAGTTGCATTCTCCCCGCACTGTAGAGAAAAAGCCTCTACCATCAGTCAGCTCTTTAGAGTATTTTTGTTCAACCAGTTTTAAGGGGAAAGGGGAGGAAACCAGCCAGCGCCACCGAACGCCCACCCAGGCCAGCGCTTTCGCGTTACCACACTGTGCCACGGCCCCCAGACAGGCAGCACCGCTCCCGTTTCACAGACGAGGGACAGCGAGGCCGCGAAGGGAGCAGAGGCCTGGGGTCTGCAAGTGGGCCCTGGCCGGTCTGTCATCAGAATGGCCCACCACTCATTTCTGGCACGCAACAAGGAACCCTGAGTCTGGTATTCCTACTCCGTCCTGCCACTGTTTGTTTCTCTGGATCCTTCCTGGGCCCTCTTCCTCCAGTAGTGGCTCTGATCCATTGCGCCTTCCTCTTTCCCTTCTGCTACTGACCCTCCTCCTCCTGGGGTCACGCTGGCCCTTTTTTCTTGGCTTCCTTCACACTCCTTTTGATTGCCCCTCGAACAGTGGTGTTCCCCAGGGTCCCACGCCATGCCCGTGTCTCCCCCCCGGGTCTGCCACCTCCCGGGCGAGCTCATCAGCTGTTACTGCACATACAGCCTGTCCGCCGACAGCTCTCAGTCGTCCACTCCCAGCAGAGGCTCCCACCTTGGAGCCCCAACTCGCAGTCCTGCTCACTCGGCATCTCCAGGGGATATCACTCCGGCACCCCGTGCTCCACAGCTGTAAATCTGAACGCCCAGTCTTCCTCCTAATCAGATCCTCTCCTCGTATCAACTGGCGGCACCAATTCATACGGCAGCCAGAATCCTGTCACTCCTGGCTCCTCCCTGTTTTTAATTCCCGTTCCAGTCAATTATTAAGCCATGCTGACTGCCACCTCAGCACGTCTCCTTCGCCTCTGCCCCCAGTGCCTAGGTTATGGACTCTGCCGTCTCTTGGCTCTTGGTCTACAACCAACCAGGCCTACCACCTCCGCTTGGCTTGCCTGCGAGCTCCACTTCACGTGGCTCCTCCAACAGCCTCCCCAACAGCCCAAGTCCGCGAGTGAGGCTCAGCACGGGTCTGGCCCTTCCCTGCCCCTGCCCCTGCCCCTTTTTCTTTCTTTAATACTCACCCAAGGGTGTGTTCTACCTGATGTTTAGAGAGAGAAGAAGGGCGGGAGGGAAGGAGGGAAGGAGAGAGAAACATCGGTGTTGCCTCCTGAACACACCCTAACTGGGGATCGGACCTGCAGCCTAGGGCTGTCCCCGACCAGGGGTCGAACTGGCAGCCTTTTGGTGAATGAGATGACATTCCAACCAACCGAGCCACTCAGCTCAGGTATGGTTTTTTTAAAATTAATATTTTATTAACCTGTCATTTCTTTTCCTTTGTTTTTCTCCTCCCTCC